CCTTCTCTTTTTTCTATGCTATTACTCTTTGCAATCATGAATGTGAAGATCCCGCAGCTTTTCAAAGGGAAACAAATTCTTCATTCTTGAACAACTAATAATTACACAAAATTCTTTAATTAGAAAAAGATGTGAGGGAATGTTGGTATGTACAGGCAATGTGTGAGTAGTTGCTATTCCTTTCACTTTCACATAATCACACATGAATCACTGTTATTGGTAATTATAAAGGAATTAGCATCCAATTAAGAGAGATACACATCATATGGAATTTGTTAAAGTAAAATCTAAAAACACTCAAATCTTGAAAATTTACCAGTGTAGAATAGGAAGGTAGAGGCAGCTATTACAGAAGAAAGCACAATCTGAAAGCAGGAGGAAAGACAGTGAAGGGCTGCAGAAGTGTGCTCTACCAGGGAACTTAAGACGCTCAAGTTAGCCACGAAAGTTTTTAACAAAATCAATATATCAAATATGAAAGAAATTCATACCTTGGGTCTGTTATGGCCTATGTATAGGTTGAACGGCTGCAAGAGTTGAACAATAAGCCAACTATACCAACTCATATATATCCAATTCACATAAACTCCATTAAGTCAGATGTTGAGCACTAAGGCTCAGCTTCAGAGAAGCAGTATGTAAGAGCCTTGCAACATGGTTCAATAGGTTGTGTGATCCAGAGAAAACATAGTAATGACATTTAGATAAACAAATAAGAACCATAATATGAATTGAGGAGCACTTTGGTGAAAAGACAATATCAAATCCTTTAAAACCACTTGATATTTGGATGAGAAAAACAGAATCAACTAATTACTAGTGTAGAGGCAGCCAGAGGCAAGAAAGCACATTGAATCATTCTAAATTCGGCTTACTATTTTGGACTTGAAAATAATTGTTGATCTCCAAATATGGGTGTGTTGGCTGCAAAAAATCTAAAAGTAAGTTACATAGACTGTCAAGTTATCCACAAAAGAGTTTAACTAAATTGATAGGTCAAATAAATATGAGAGAAATTCATATAATTGTATATAATTGTATACATACATAGCTAGTGTCTGCTGTGGCCTACATATATATATGTGGGTTCAATTGCCACAAGAGTTAAACAATAATGTGATTAAAGAAATTACAATGTTGAAGTTGATATAGTTAACAGTCACAAAACATAAAACAAGAAATTTCTCAAGTCTGTTTTACTGCTTATTACAACATAAAATAAAACAAATATTACTTAAACAATCATTAATTAAACAAAGTTCATCCATAGCACAAAACAACAAATTACAACAGAGATTGCATTGGATTGAAGTGAGTGTGAGTCCCAATTTTTTTGTTTTCCTCAGCTGTAAATGTTGCTGAGTTGAAGAAATAGGTTTGAGATGGTAAGAGATGCAGCCTGCACGAACATGTATGGAGAAATTACTTAATTCTAAGGATGCAAATATTAGTCAGTCAAAAAAAAAAAGGGAAAAAAGGAAAATGTTCAAGAAAACATAAACATATATACCTGGGCTGGGCATTAGAAAGTGGACACAGCTTGACCACATTGATATTCAATGGATGACTCAGGAAATCCATTCAGGTGCTTGCTCCCTATGAATGAATAATTTAAAAAGGAATTAGCATCCAATTAAGGAAGATAGACATCTCATCAGAAGCATATCAACAGACATATATACCTGAGCTGAGCTACGCATTAGAAACTAGTCAATTGATAATTGAAACTCCTAGACTCATATTTAATACCTACCAAAGGGTTGCCCCTGTGAATAATCAAAAAAGGAATTAGCGAGACAAACATCTTATTAGCAAATCAGTCATGATTAGATAATTGAGCAAATCAATGGACATTAACACTGGGATTCATTCAGAAACAAGAGATAGAAACATTTAGTTATGAAATACCAGTGAGAGAGGAGGAATGGTATGCAAGTGATGGAAAAAGGGAGACTAATGAGACTTACAAGAGCTCATAATATTTGAGGAAAGGTAGGAGGACAATCTTATAGTCAGGATTCTCCCACTCCAACGATTCCCACCATTCTTTTGGATTGAAAATATAGATAGATTTGACAGCAGGAAGAGATGGTTGCGCGTTTTTCCTTCCAAGACAAAGGGGAATCCTCTTTACCTTTGGACAGGTCAATATTGTGATGCTATTGAGAGATTCACAAACCATTACTCCTCTTTCGGGGCAGATTCTCTTCAATTACGGTAGGAAATGCAACACCAATATCCTTAATTTTGGAAGAGTGATCAATATTGGAGTAGCTGTTTGATTTCCTTCCTCTTCTTCTTCCCATCCTATAATTTCCTCCATCCACACACAACCATTCACCTCAATCAGCTCCAAGTTTTGGAGGCTCTGACCCTGCAGCAGCTCACATGGAAAAAGCTTCTTCAATTTTGTACAATTGCATACCCCCAGCTCTTTAAGATTGGAAAAGATGTGAGGGGATATCTTTGGTGCAAGCGATGCTCTTGTTTTTTCCACTTTCACAACATCCCGCAAGCTAGGCAAACCCCCAAGGGTTAGTACTTCAAGGTTATTCATAACTGTCAAGGAAGTAGATGAAAATGATGACAAAGAGACCACACACTCTATCCCTTCACAGTCTTTCAAACCACATGTTCGCAATTGAGTAAAATCTTTCTGAAAAATAGAAATAGCACCGACCGCATGGCAGGATTCAATCGTCAAAGCCTGAAGGTCATCTGGAAGGACCAACTCATCTCCTTCTCCTATCTCGCATCTGAATAAAATTACCAATTTATGAAGATCATTATTGTTGAACTTCCAAAAATACCCCTCCTCATCTTTGCCCCTGTGTCTCATATGCATTGGTCTTAACTCCATGATATCCGGAAAGCATATTGTATCCCAACTCATACAGAATACCATTTTGAATCCCATTAGAGCGTCAGTTTCTCCTTCCACTTTCATAAAGTAATGACTGGGTCTTCCACAATGGTTCAACTTGTTAACAAAACTGCTGAAGTCTTTCAGCCAATCAAATCCACCTTCAAACAATTCCAGCATCTTCAAACCCGCTACTTCTTCTCCCCTTATTTCACTTGGAAAAATCGGATGTTTACGTAGGTATTGGAGGCGGAAGAGCTTACTGATTTTTCCCCCTGGTAGCACCCTCAAGTTTGGACAAGATAAATCAAGATATTCCAGATTTTCTAACATTTCAATGCCTTCAGGAGCCTCACAAAGGCCTGCTCCATCCAAATCCAACTTCGTCAGTGCTTTAAGCTTTGACAAGGAAGGCATGCGTTCTAAACGCACACATCCACAGAGGATCAGTGCAGTGAGATATTCCAAGTTACATATGGAATGAGGTAGAACCTCAATGCCAGTTCTAGAAAGATCAAGAAACTTCAGCAGGGGCATGTTAGCAAAAAAACACTATGAAATTTGTCTCAATCCTTTATTGCCCTCCAAAATCAAGGTTGAAAGCATCAAGCATTTGGGGGACATATTTTGAGGGATATATGATATTTGATTTTTCATGAGGGAGACCTTGTCTAGATCTTCATTCCATTCATCCTCATCCGGTATCTTTGTCAATCTCATTCCAGCTTTTACCATAAACCTACCAGGACCTGTCCTCTTGATGCACAATGCCATGTCCCTCACAACATCATGCATCTTAACACATGCCTTTTCATTGGCTTCCTCTAACAAACAACAGTTCAAAAGCCTATTTAAAATAGCATTTCCTTTATCATGCATTTCTCTTCTGCTTTCTAATTTTCCAACAATTCCCTCACAAATCCAGTTTTCAATTAGATCTTTTCTTCTAATATTCCAATCTTCCGGATACAATGAGCAATATAAGAAACACTTTTGGTCTTGGATGCTTGAATTTTTTGGTAGACGATCATAACTGAACTTCAAAGGATTAAATATCTCATCTTCTGAATCTTTCTCTGTGTCCACCACACATTGACGCAATTCACGTAATGCATTTCTCCACTCACAAATATCTTCAACTCCTCTCATGCTCCCTGCAATAACAACAATGGCCAATGGCAAACCAGCGCATTCAGCCACCATAAGCTTCAAAATCTTTTCCAAATTGGGAATTCGTAGAACATCTTGCCCAACCTTATCTAAAAACAAGTTCAAAGACTCTTGCTCTGGTAGAGGTGGCACTTTAACTACCTGACATTTCAAGTAGTTGCATACATCAATGGATCTGCTAGTAATAACAATTTTACACCCATTTTCCAT